CCAGTTGTCGTTCCACTTGATAATGGCTTTTTGGCCATCTAAACGGGCCTTTTCCACTCCTTGGAATAGGTTTTGATAGTGATAACCGCGCAATCGAAGCTCTTTGTAGAAATCTTTCTTTTCAAGCACATTCGTACCGTTTTCGAACTCTTTTGCATCGATCGACACATCCTCAAACTCGGATGTTTCGATGTTACGAACTATTCCTGATACGACCGTGACTCCATTCTCTGTGATTTCAAACTGTCCACTACCGTAATGAATCATGATGTTCAAGTCGACCTTTTGACCAGGTGTGATAGTTGTGGCTCTCAAAAATCGGATATCCTCGAATTGAGCATTGATTTTTGTACCGATTGCACCGCAAGTCATCATTGATAAAGTGTCCCAAACTAATTCCAAGTAAGTTGTACCAGGCACAATAACACGACCTAAGAGAAATGGTCATTTTTATAGAAATCTGTATTATAAAATTATGCACCAAAACAAGAACAGCTCCTTTACCATCAATAATATGGCCCGAAATGTACGATTCCACATCTAAAGAGAGAGATACTTGTCGTTCCCCACTTATACCGCCTTTCTGAACAGAAAATTTCATAACGAACCAGTCTTCTGTGTGATCCCATTTTACCAACGGCGAAATCATTGGCGTCCCGCGTGAAACAGGGAACTCAACTTTTGGATAAAGGCGTTCAATCGGCAAATTAAGTCCACTCAAAAACATTCTAGTCAAAGGAAAAAAAATGATTAAAAGCTTCTCTTGACTGTTAACATTCTGATCTTGAAAATGATCATAATATATTAACCACAAATGTACAGCTGATCTAGTCTTAAGTCTATGTACAAAACCTACTTTCCCAAAGCTCCTAAGAAGAAAGCAGCATTGTTTGAGTGACCGCGATGAGTGAGCGGTACGTGAATAGCTTCTGGCATCGATTTCTTGACAATTGCTTGGAGAAGTCCGTGCGGAGCTATTTCGATGACGATCGATTCCGAAGGTAGTAAGTGAACCGTTTCCTCAAACAAAACAGGCTTCAGTAGATTGTTGGTGTGGTATTCGGCGGAACTGAAATTGCTCTGCGGAAAATGCCATTCTGATTTAGGAACACTTGTGCTGAGCCATTTTTCAGAACGTTTCAATGGCCGAGGAACGATTTCTCGCATTTTTCGCAAAAGTTTTGGTCCCATTTCGGAAATATACTTCGAATGGTATGGAATATTGGAGCATTGAACTTCCTTTGCAAAAATTTTCTGTGATTTAAGCTCCTCGACAAACTTGGCAACATCGGCCTTGGGACCGGATATTGTTGTCGAAATGCCGCTGTTACGGCAAGCGGCTTCAACAGTTGGTGGTAGCATATGAACCACCTTTTCATAACCCAAACCGACGGCTGCCATCGATCCTTCGATGACCTTAGTCTCGACACTAACGATGCCTCGGAAGTAAGAGGCTAAAATCATTTGCTCGGCCGTAAGTGTTCCATCCGCATAAGCCACTCCTAACTCTCCAACCGAGTGACCGATGCAATAATCCATTTTAACGTCTAACAATCGAAGTATGTTCACGAGACCAATTTGAATGCACGCTATGCCAACAAAAGCGTTTAGAATGTAATTAAAGATCTTTGGATCATCTGAAGTGATAATTGACATTAAATCCACACCGTATGGCTTGAGAACTTTATGACAAAGTTCGACTGTCTCACGGAACTGTGGGAAAACCATCAAAGCCTTGCCCATCGTTGGCCATTGTGAGCCCATTCCACTGAACAGCCAAACCACCGGCAGTTTGTTTCCGTCGACTCGCTTCAATGCGCGCGATAAACTCAAGGCATTTTTCGAAATATCTCCATTCACATCTTTGCTAAGAACCGTATAACCACGATGAAGATAGCCTTGCACCTCCTCAGCTTGGGCGCTGTGCAACAAACCAATGTACTCAGCATCGAGCGGCTGCGATTCCAATGCGTTAAGCATTGCATTGACCCCTTCCTCTGTTCGACCCGCCCAATTCACAAGCCGTGGAATATTGTCAAGCGGAGCGCCTTCGTTAATTTTACTTTTTGGATTCATTGAGAACAAAGCGTGCGCTGAAATGTACAAATTATTTCGTATTTTACAAAAAACGATTATTTAATTTTGTTTTATTTACTTTATTTAAATTTAACTGAAGTAATTTGCACTATTGGCCTCTCATTAGAATTCATTGAAACAGTGTGAATAATAATATTGAAATGTGCATCGTGCAACTTACCATTTGCACCACCAAAGCCAAAAGAGTTGATTGCAATTTTATCGCCCTTGAATGGCATTATTTCATTGCAAACAATCATTCGCCTTTCAGTGAGTGCCGGGATCGATGACCGAACTCGGTCAAAGTTAATATTTGGTGGGATATGTCCGTTTTCAAATATTAAAATAGCTTTTGCAATTGAACATGCTCCTGAAGTTGACTCGGTGTGTCCAATGTTTGATTTAATCGAACCAACTAGCAATGGTTTGGTACGACCCTGACAGAAAATATTGTCCAATGCTTTGCACTCTTCGGGATCACCGACAAAAGTACCAGTACTATGCGCTTCAACATAGCCGACTGTAGTTGGATCCAATTGAAGATCGTCATAGAATTCCGCCAAAAGTGCCTCTTGAATCTCTCCTGATGGATATGTTATACCTTCGAGCTTGAATCCATCGCAATTTGCTTTCGAATAAATTACATTTGCGTAGATACGTTTGGCATCTCTTGCTCGTTGCAAATACATTACGCAAATTCCTTCTGATCGAGTGTAACCAGAGGCTTTTTCGTCAAATGGGCGACAATAGCCATTTTTGGCAATGACACCCAATCTAAAAAAGAAATCCGGGATTTTTTCTTACTTCGTTCAAAGTAATCATTCTTACAATTTTTTTTCAGAATCTATATGGCCTACATCACTAAAATTACCTGGCAAATTGAAGAGTTGTATACGGATGGAGGCAAAGATTTGAACCACCAACTAAAGCAGCGTCACATTCACCACTTCGGATGGCCGAAAATGCGGCATCCAAAGCATACATCGAACTTGAACATGCCGTGTCTAACAAAAATGATGGCCCAGTTAAGCCCAAGCAGTAAGAAACACGATTTGCAAGCATCGCACGACTACACCTAAGTTGTTTAAAATTTTCCGTATAAAAATTAAGCTTGCATGGCTTTTTGGTTCAATGTGTAGTTACCCCGATATTCCCAAACCAGATTCGGTAATGTGATTTACATCGTAGAAAAACACTTTTTCCGATTCATTAAAACAGGCACCGATAAAAACGCCCGTTTTCGAACCACGTATCGACTTCGGGCAAACGCCTGCATCCAAAATTGCTTCGTACGCAGTCTCAATCAGCAATCGGCATTGAGGATCGATGCAATGCGCTTGTTTATATGGAACACCGAAAAAGGTTGCATCGAACTTATCAATATCATCAATAACACCCATTCGAATCGGAATTTCGGAATTATAATTTGGCCATCTTTTTTCCGATACCGTCACCATATCCACCTAAAAATAACTATTTGATTATCACATAAAACTGTTGTAAAATTTAAAAAAAAAATCCTATCCAATGGTTAGTTAAATTAAAAAAAAACTTTTTAAAGTTATTTGACGATTTCTATTTCGTAATCAAAAATTTGAATCGAAAGAATACAAAAAAAACTCTTCTCCACAATATTCGAATACTTTCATTTAATTTCACTTCATACCTTATTGTATAAATTGTATTCCAATTCGGCTACATTTTTTGCACTTGGAAATTTGCCACTGATTCCACTAATAACGATCTCATCGCCTGGTGAAACTGGGTAAATTCGCGATTCAAGTGTTTTTACGCTTCGTTTCACTTTAGCCATTTTTTTCGTATCCGATTTTCGAGTTGTACAATTTTTTGAGTCGTGATTTTTTTTTTCGAAGAAATTTGGCAGATCCTTTGTTTCAAACTGTTTCAGATTTTTGTTACTTTTTTAAACAACTTTTTCTTCCACAAATTTGTATTTTTCCTTTTTGTTGAAACTTGAATGTTTTTCCCCTCTATTTTTTCTTCACAATTTTTCTTTGGTAAATCGTACACTGCAACTAAGTTCAAAACTTTTCCACAGGAATAATTCTATCACTTTTCAACTTCTTTTCACAAAATCAACTATTTTGCACTTTTTATTCTATCACTTTTTCACTTTTTAGCTACTGGAAAACTTGAACTTGAAGGAACGATCGATCACTAACTAAGTAGCTGCAATGAACTTACCGTCTTTTTATAAGAAAATTTTATGCATTTTCCATTTGCAATTATCCAATTTCCTCATTGTTCTTACTAATTAATTGCCATCGAATCGATTAGCACTTACAAATACATTCGATTTACATTGTTTGTTCATTGCAGGGGAATGCATAGAGCAGCGCATTGGCCATTTGTGACTACAATTTAATCAATATCCATATGCTATTTACATTGAGTTCAACTAACTCTATGTACATTGTAAGCTGATTATGGAAATGAAATGCAGTTTATGTACTATGTAGGTGATCGAGGGCTCTTGATTGCAGTAGCTGACGAATAATTATATAATCAATCAGAATTTTGTGCAACAAAAGAAAGGCAAAACAAAATAAACGAAAAGAGAAATGTATTAACTGAAATCACAAATCGAACGATTTTGGATTTTATGGAAAAAATTCCACAACAAAATTAAAATAGTTTAGAAGAAAAACTCTATCAATTCATGTTCGAAAATCAATTCAATTTCAATAAAAATTTCTACGTGAAGTAATTCAGTGAGTTTCCTCAAAACTAAAATATTTCTAAGATGATATCATCATGTGATGAAATTTGCGATTTTCCTAGATCAAATCTATAGCCCAATCCATCTATCACTTCACCCGCAAAATCCTATGCCATGTAAAGTCTCACAAATCGATTTCAGCAACTATTCCCACAAGTTCAAGGAACAGTGTCAATGAATCACAGTGATATAGCCATTCTAATACATTTTGCACATATTTTGCAATTAACAACGCACGTGTTGCAAAATCATCGTTCGAATTCCAATTTCAATTGAATGCATTTCAAACAAGGTGAAAAGACATATATTATTTCATTATAGACACCTCGAGTTGCATTCATTTGTATCGGCTGATTATTTGCATTTCTAGTGTGAAGTGTCATTTGAATGACACTACTGGATTTCTTCAATGTCCATTGCGTCGATAGATGAATGGAAAAACCCGTAGAGAAGAAATTTAGAAATACAAAAAAAAAACAACAAAACAACGTATATTCGGCTGATTCAAAATAGAGAAACTTGGCAGTGCTGCTTTGATAAATGAAAAATAGATGGCGTTGAGGTGGTGAGCAAATGTGAGATTGAAATGTCATCACTTGTCTCTTTCAGCATTCACACAATGAAGTAAACAAACTTAAAAAAGTCGAATGTTTTGAAAGTGGATCATTTTAGCAAAAATGTCACGCTCATCTGTGGTAAGCAAAAAGTTTTTTTTTTCATCTCGCGCCAATAATGGTTTTTTGGGATATTTAATCGAAAGTTTCTGATGAATAAATGATAAACATTTCCTTTTAGAATGGCAGTGAATACGATGAATACGTGCTTGACGAAGCGGATTATGTGCGAGAAGCCGAACAAACTGTGTACAATCACAACGAGATATCAATTGAAAATGCCCTCACCCTGAACAAACACATGCGAATTTACTTAAACGATTTGAAACACGAGCTGGAGCAATTGATCAACGTGTGCCAACAGAAGTACAAACAAAACGAATTGTTGATTGCCGCAACAAACAAAGCAAAAAATGAACCGAAACTCTATACGACATACTATTTTTGTGGTTATCCATTTTTCAAAGATCGAAAGGGTGGCGCACCACCACAATCGGCCGAATATTTGAAACGCACCGAAAAAGGCGATGAAATTTTCCCATTGGATCTAGAGAAGCGATGTGTTTGGCTGCCTCGAGACAAAGTTCAGTTGGTGCAAGGCGTTAAGAAGCAAGTGATCACATACTTACAGTCACAAAATCGGACGAAAATTCGAAAGACAGTCGGCAAACGATGCGCTAGCGAACTGTCAGCTAGGATTCAAAATGGTTTGTCGATTTTGTTTTTCAAGTAATTACTTTGTATAGCTTTCGTCGGCCAAAAAATAGGGTTTTATGAAAATAAATGCCAGACTACGATAGCAGGCCCAAGTATCATTGATACATTGATTCAAAAATTGCCCACAAAACTTATTCCATTTGTCCAACAGAAAGTTCTTCTTTCGAATCGATGCATTTGAAGGATTTGCTCAAAAAGACGGAGGGAAGTAATTTCCGAATAAATTGGCTGGATGTTTCAATGAACGCTCTGGATGATCGGCATCCGCCTAATGAGTGCATGGGGTAAGTCAAACAAAATTACAACCAAATTCGTTAATTTCCAATTTTTCAATTTTTTTTTCTCTCCTTTTTTTAATTGTCCAGAATGTGGTATGGTTACTTAATGCCAACATTGAATCGTCAACCATGGACACCGGCCGAAGAAGATAAATTATTGAATGCTGCAAATGATTTTGAGCATCAAGATTGGGCGGAAATCGCAAAAGAAGTGGATGGTCGATCAGCTTATCAATGCTTTGTCCATTATCAAACGAAATTCAATCCAAAACATGTGCAGAAAAATGTTCGTTGGACACCCGAAGAGGATAAGAAGCTGCTGGATTTCATTGAAAAGTATCGAATCGGTAATATCATACCGTGGACTAAGATTATGGAGAAATGTCCGGGTCGTTCAAAGCCACAGCTTTACAATCGGTGAGATTTGAGGCTATAATTTCAAGTCTATATTTCCAATCAATTCAATCTCATCACTAAAACACTATCATTCATCTTATAGGTACATGTTTTCATTACATCCGGAGATAAATCGAGCGCCGTTTACCGTTGAAGAGGACTGTATATTGATGGCAGCCATTAAGGAGTACGGACTGAATTTCTGTGAATTTCCATCGAATTTGTTGCCCGGTCGAAATATGCGGCAAATTCGAAGCCGCTATAACAATGTTTTGCGGCATGTAAATGTACGTGAACATTGGACGGAACAACATGACATTAAACTAATGGAATTGATTGATCGTTATGGTACATCTGACTGGGTACGCATATCCGATGAGATGGTGAGTCATACGCGGACATCATGCCGTCAAAGATACACCACGATTCGGAAATTTCTTGATAAATATCCTAGCAAAACGGTATCGGATGTTCCACGCAGAAAACGACCCTTCTCAACGAATGTAACAACGGAGAACTGGATGGAAGCGATCATTGAAGCCAAGAATTTCGAATCAATCACCGCAGCAAGTGAAGAAGAAGAAGACGAAGCGGAGAACTCAATACTACCACGAGGAAAATCAGTGGCCCAAAGCCTTCATAATACGGACTATTATGATTTCCTAAAATATTCATTCAACTTTAAATTTGGTGAAGCGATTCCCGGCAGCGATGCACTCTTCGAGAACATACAAATCGCATGCCAATTGTTACGAGCATCGAATTTGCCAAACAAAATAAATACGTATGACCAATCGTTTAGCTGCTACGTGACAATGAAAAATCCCTGTAAGAAGGTGCAATTAGAGGTGGACCTACTAAGATCGCTCAGCGAACTGGGTCGAAATGATTTTTTATATCCGGTAAATGTGAATACGGTGCTTGGTTTGCGTGGCATAACAGCAATGCTTGCGCTAGCAAGTGAAGAGAAGAAAGGACCACGGAAAAAGAAGAAAATTCCAGAGACAGAAATCAAACCGGAATCAAACAGCGTACAAGATTATCAGGCATTGGATTTGTTCAAAATGCGATTCAATTCAATCTTCAAGCAAACAGCGACACTGGCCAAGATGCATCGACAAATTACTTCGGTGTCACTACGACTGCGGAATCAAAAGCGAAAACGAGTGACCATACCCACATCTACGGTGACATCAACATCAGTTGCAGCAGCAGCCACAACCACTGACTTCCATAATAATGAAACATTGGTGCGAATATCTGCCGCCAATCAGAGCAACGACGAAGAGTTTGAGAGCTACATCATGAGTGAAACCGAAGAGAAACCATGCAAACGAAATCGAATCACTGTACTTGAAAGCATCACCGTCGGATTGAATGATATAGAAGAAGTTGATCCACTGCAATTGCCACCACCAACCGTTTCCAATGATTCATTCAATTTCTACACTCGATACAGAGTCGAAACATCGGATACAGTTCAAGAAATTAATATACAGCCGGATGTGAGTGGCAGTGAAACTGAAGGCTTTGCCGATGATCAGAGCACATATTCCAATACAGATTTTGTCATTTGGACACCAACCATCACTGACGAAGCGACTGGATCATCTCAGCAGTGAAACAAGACAAGAACAATATTATGTTTCATTGTTTATCATAATAAATAGTAAAATAGTTTCAAATTAAAGCAAAAACAAATGTGAGGTTATGTCAATCGGACCAGTTTCGGCGTTTTTTTCTTCTCTCACTTATGTGTGTATATGTTGCGAGCTGTCATCATCAAAACCAGTTTTCAATAGCATGCTGACGTTTGAACATAACCTTTGTAAGGTCACTATAATTGTGTCTTATCTCCATACGTCACTTGCTGTTGTAGCGCCTGCGATCTGAACAGTTGTTTCGTTGCTTTCAACACGATAAGTTGGCTTTAACTTCACCCAATTATTTAATCGGGACTTGACATACATTCGAATATTTTTTTTGCAAAAAAAATTCAGCAAAATGTTTTCACGATTATCTGTTTCGGTAGCCAAACAAGCGGGAAAGAATTTCTCAACTACATCACAGGTAAGGCAAAATTTGACGGTCATCATTGTGTGAATGAAAAAAAAATCGGACTGTTCTAGAATGTGAACATTTGTTGTTGTTGTTGTTGTAAAGCTTGCATTGGTTTACGTAACGCATGAATCCTTATATAAAATTGATTAAAAGACAATGATGACATGATGATTTTTCGCATTTATTTTCGGTTCGTACTTTCTTTTTATCAAACCAAATGACAAAGATAATGTTAATTTATGTGGTGATTCATGTCATGTGATTGAATTGATTTTTGTTATAGAACAATGTTAAAGTTGCTGTTGCTGGCGCAAGCGGTGGCATCGGTCAACCATTGAGTTTGTTGTTGAAACAAAGCCCATTGGTGTCACATCTCTCGTTGTACGATATTGTGCACACACCAGGTGTTGCCGCCGATTTGTCGCACATTGATACACCAGCCAAGGTCACCGGATACAATGGCAAAGAGAACTTGGAGAAGGCCCTCGAAAATGCTGATGTTGTCATTATTCCAGCTGGTGTTCCACGTAAACCAGGTAAGTCGATGTTGAATTGAATTTGTTGAAGCCTCAAAGTGCTATTTAAAGCGTTCAAAATCTGTTAAAAGCCCTTAAATTCGGTCTAAAGATTCTGAATTCGGTTCAAAGCCTCTAAACTCTGTTTGAAGCCTCCAAATACTGTTTAAGTGACGAAACATTCACTTGAGGTGGATTATCATCCACTGTCTTTGACAGAAAATCATAACTTTTACCCAATTTTCCATTACTTTTATACCAACTCTCCACAAACTAACACATACTTCATTTGAATTTTCAGGAATGACCCGTGACGATTTGTTCAACACAAACGCTGGCATTGTCCGTGATTTGGCCGTTGCCATTTCAAAGGTGTGCCCAAAGGCTTTGGTCGGAATCATCACCAATCCAGTCAACTCATGCGTTCCAATCGCATCGGAAGTGTTGAAACAAGCCGGAACATACGATCCAAATCGTATTTTTGGTGTGTCAACTTTGGATGTTGTACGTGCCCAAGCATTTATCGGAGAGAAAACCAACACCAATCCATTGGATGTGAAAATCCCAGTTATTGGTGGTCACTCCGGTGTTACCATTTTGCCAGTATTGTCGCAAAGTCAACCATCAGTTAAAATGTCACAAGACCAAATCAAGGCATTGACTGAACGTATCCAAGAAGCCGGTACTGAAGTTGTTAAGGCTAAGGCTGGTGCTGGTTCAGCCACTTTGTCAATGGCCTATGCTGGTGCACGTTTCGCTTTGGCTTTGGTCCGAGCATTGAAAGGTGATCCAAATGTTGTTGAATGCTCATATGTTCGTTCAGACATCACTGCTGCCACATACTTTGCAACCCCATTGAAATTGGGCAAGAACGGTATTGAAAAGAACTTGGGACTACCAAAATTGAATGCCTATGAACAATCACTTTTGGACGCTGCCATCCCAGAATTGCAGAAGAACATCAAGAAGGGAGAGGACTTTGTTAAGAGCAACTAAATTACCAGATCCATGAACGTCAAAACCGAAAATTCATTAATTTCTGTTCTCTGTTACCAAGTTTTCAATTGTATAGAGTGAATGGAACCACCGGCTACCACATTGGATGCTGCATTTCATTCATGACTTTTGTAATATATTTAAAAAAACGAAAAACAAATAGAAAATTTAAACCAATATGAGCATGTAAGTTAAAGAGAAAATAAATTAACAAAATGGTCAAACAGAAATAAAAATCAATTAAGGAATGAACAATCCAAAATTTAATCAGTTAGAAATGTGTCTCTCTTTTATTTATGACTAGGTATTGGTCAATGAAAGACGTCAACCTTTTGTTTGCTCAAAAATAGGACATTTAACATTTTGTTTGTAGCAAATAAGAAATAACGGTTTTGTTTTCCAGGAAGATAATTCTGTGATTATGACATGGAATTCTACTGTTCTGCTGTGGATGCAAACAAATTGAATATCGCTTGCCGCATACAACGAGCGATAAGAGTACGTACGTACAAATCCGTTTGAAGAATGTGTTCAACTGATAACAGCATGATCGTCTTTATTTGTTGCCAGTAATTTGCTGATAAATCGTTGTCAGTCCGACGTATGTGCCCCTAACAACGCCATACAAAACAATAAAAAAAAACGGGAGGAAAAAAAGCGAACTTGACTGATTTCAATTGAGAATCCACTCGGCATTCTTTATTATTTGTTTAAAATAATCTTTGTGTTTGAATTTATCTCTTTGCAATAGCATTTTTCTTTGTTTTTTCTTCTTTTACTTTTTAATATGGATTAATCCTAAATTGTCTAAATTTGTTTTTGTTTTTTTTGCATCATCTTCTTTTTTTTCACGCAGTATACATAAAATTATTAACAAATTTTATTGATTTTATTTTTGTCTCTCCTTAAAATATATGGATATTTCACTTGGATTGTAAATCGAATGGATGAAAAAGAGAGTAAAATCAAAACAAGAAGCTGGTGCATGAATATACACGGCTCATTCAATTTGAAAAAAAAAACACGGTGTCTCGATTGTCTCTCGAACAATTCAGCTCTCGCACAAATCTTCTTTTTTCGCAATGCACAATGCGATCAATTGCATCATGATGAACAAAAAATGTCGATAATGATTTGTTTTGTTTTTTTACTAAAATTTACGACTAATCGAATAGAATAATTTTACATTTAATTCGTATTGCATTAAATATATATTTAGTGGCTGAAATGAGAGAGTGCTTAGTAGAAAGTGTGTGAGAGAGAGTGAATGATTGCTTTTTTTTTATTCTTATTTCTTTCTTCTTGATGTGTCGGCCTATCATTATCATCGTCTCCAGATATTCTCATCAGTGTGACTGTGAATATATAGCTCAATATTGCAGAAACTCCATCTTAAACACATTCTTACACATATATATTTTCAGGCAAAATATCTAATAATTTAATTATAACACATGAGATTTGATAACATTTCACTTCTTTTTTTCATCTTCTTTTTTCGTTCAATGAATACAATTTGGATTTTTGTTACTGTTGTTGGCGGTCGATGGCCAAATTCAACACATTCCCATTGAATATGATTTGTATTGAAGAATTGTAACGAAATTCATTTTATTGAAAACTGATCAAACTCTATTTTTTTAAATTGGAAAATGAAACAGAAAAGAAACTAGGCTTTGATTTTATTCATTAATCCGCTTGCACGTTGAATCCAGTGGAGTCGACCAGCGAATCACAAACCATAAATTATGTCCCATTCCTTTTCTCTTTGGAGTTGACATGTGATTGGAGGTGAGTCTATGGGTGAAAAATAGCGGTTATTTATAAGTTATTACAAATGACTAATTAATTTATCAAATTACATAAATTATGACAACTCATTCAATTGATAGACACACAAAATGAAAAAAGAAAATGACCCAATTAAAAAAAAGTGGAACCTTGATGTGCCAATGATTCTTACCTTCAAGTCATTGATGGATGTGAAGGTGATCAGACATGGAGAGCATTTAAAGATTTTTTCATGCTTCAATTTCGCTTGATGCGATTGTATTTGACTCACTGTACTGAACATCTTGTGACACGATCCACACTGTATGAGTTTCTCCATGTGGGTTTGACGATGCCTATAGAGAATCGTCCGCGATTTAAATTCTTTGTTACACACTTTGCAGATTGGAATTTTGCCCGGCGTTTTCTGTAAATGGTAAAAATGGTTTTTTTTCAAATATTTTATCTTAAAAATATTTAAGAAGCGATGCCTTATAAGAGACATTTTTGGTGAAGAAAAAGGTGCATTGGATATGATCATCAGATTTGGGTTATATGAAAATCGAAAACAATTAACCCATTTTTTCTCTCGAAAAAACGAACAATTTTGATAGGAAGGGACCAATGGATAAAAAGTGGCCCAAGAATTAGAATCAGATTGGTAATGTCATTGAAAATCATTAACGAATCATGAATTGTGCTGTAGTCCACAATTTGGACATTCAAAACAACGAATATTGGTCATATTTTCAAGAGAAAGATAAAAATAGGCCAAAAATGATTTTCATGCATAGAGAAATCATTGGTGATGGGAATGTGGGATGTTGAACCATCCTACCTCATGTGTTTTCATGTGCATTTTCAGCATTCCAGGTCCTTTAAAGCTCCTGAAGCAGATCTCACATTGCGGTTGCTTTTTACAATTGGCCTAAAAGGGTGAAAATGTTTCATGTTAGTCAAACGGTTTTAAAATGAACGAATTGTTCGCAAATCAAATTCGACAACAGTGACATGTATGTCATTTCTGTTGTTGCAACGCTACCTTGATCCAGTTTGAATGGGATTTCATATGGGTTTGTAGCCATTTGCTATGCTTGAACTCCTTTCGACACAAATTGCACACAAATAATCCGGGATACGGACACGATGTCTGGGCACTAACAAATTCAGCTGTGAAAGAAATGGTCCAACGATTAGATTGGGATTCCTTAAATTCATCATGAAAGATTTTTAGAGAAATAAAGATTTATCTCCTTTTAAATAACAATTTTTTTCTTTTCTTTTTTAAAAAGAACTAAAATGAAGCTTCACTACACTATGTCTGTCTTCTAAGAGACCAAAAATACACTGAAAATTATTGGTAACAAAACAAAGCAGTCAAAAAACGTTAAGTTTTCAATAAAGTTGCGTTAGTCAAGGGAACTTTCGGCTAATTTACCTAGGAAAAATCCAATGTGGTCTAGTTACCTAAATACTCTTTGTCCTCACAATCGGATCCCTCCGATAGTTCTAGTGTGAACACTCCCTCTTCCTCTTCTTCTTCTTCTTCTTCCTCTTCCTGGATCTCTTCTTCGATTTCCTCTTCATCTTGCTCGATAATGGTTGACTCGTCCAAACAAACGGTTGCATTTTGAATTTGGTCTGCTTGTGATTGTTGTTCGACTTCTTCCACATGCTCGATTTCTTCCTGTTGCATTTGTGTCGTTACCGAGAATATTTCATCTAAAAAGCCATAAAGTCTATAAAATACCATTTCGAATAAACTGGTTAAATATGGTCTTACCATCCTCTGTGTAGTAGTGTGTTGTTGTATCCGTTTGGATTTCGGTGGGTTGGACAATGATTTCGCATCGATCATCACTCGTTCGCTGAATTTGAACTACTTGAGCCGGTTGGCCGTTCTGTTGGATCATTTGCACGGTTCCGTTACCTTTTCAGAAGAAAAAGAAGAAGATTAAATAATAGGAGGAACTAATGATAGGCAGTATTAATGAGGAAATTCTTTGATGAGAATATCTGAAGATGATAAAATATTATCACAAAATGATACGATTTTATCAATCGCAATTGATTGAGCATAATTATATCAACGGCGAACATTCAGAATTTCTATATGACATTTGTTTTTCTGAAGCGACTGATATGTCAAACCATATAGCCAAGCGGTCAACTTACTCGTTTGAACTAGTTGACAGATTTGTCCTTGAATTTGTGCGGTGGCCAATGCTGATTGCAGTGGTGCTGTGGCAACAATTTGTCCAGCCGCATTGATAATTTGCGCATTATGCAATTGACCATTGGTTATGATCATTTGCTGCGGTTGATGCGTCGTTGTTGTGACAATTTGCTGTGTGGTCGGCTGTTGTGTATGCGTTTGCGGTTGTTGTATCGTCACGCTCGCATGTTGCACATGATTATGGAGTTCATTTTGTAGATCGTGTCGTGTTATATGGATTTCTTGCCGGGTGTCTTTGATCACCTGATGCGTTTGCGCCGAATGAATTTCCATTTGTGTAAGTGGCTCTTCGACAATCACAGTAATGCCTTTGATATACTGACGCAGTTCTTTGTCCGAGTTTTCCACGCGTTTTTTAAATGCATGACATCGACTCACTTGATGTACACACTGTATACAAATCTTATCCGGCCATCCGTCGGTGTTATCAAGCTGCAAAAAAAAATGCAAAATGATTACTTGGCTATTAATAGAATTCATTAGTCAGAAAATTTCGAAAAAAATACACAATTTGTTATCAAAAAAAGGCAGGAAAAAAACCGACTTTTTCACATAAATCACTGCAAATCGTAACATTCTCCCGGCATTACCTGTATTCGCGAGAAATCCATGAGCATTTCGGCGACCATTTCACCAAATAATGGTCGCATATCTTTTTTAACTGTCAAACATACGCGACATACTTTATCAAGTTCCAATGTTTTCACATCCACTTCCATCGTTCACAATCGTTCGAAATACCAATTTTATGGACAATTCTATCGATAATTTCTATCTGCCGTCAATACACCAACCGAATCAATTACTCACAAATCAATTCAACTTCTTTCGAAATTTGTAAACCAATTTTCAATTCACATCAACTTTTTGGCATCGAACACTACAAACAACTTTGGTGGCGAGAAAAAAACTATATAGATTCAATATTTAATTAGGCTTTTGACGCTTTATTCAGTAAATTTTCTGTGGAAAATGTATAACGCAAACGCTAACAAACATATGCATCGATTTTACCACAATGTTTTCATCACTTTGCGATGGCTAATTTAATTATTCGACAGAAAATGATACGTAAACAAAAGAAGACACAATTTTTTTCCCTCACAGTATTGATGTTTGGTCGCCATTACCAAAAAAGTTAACATGAACCCGTTTTTGACACATGCGGCGCCACTGTCACCATTCCTTTTGAGTGGAACAAAAAATCACTATATCGAAATGTCAAAAGCAATGACAACTAGTATGTCGTGTTTGAATGATTGAGTCATAGATGGCGCTTCAATCTATTTCGGAACATTTTTATTTACTTGCAAAATGAACATTCGAACGAATTCTTGTTGGGTTTTAATTATAGTATATAAAACATATTTAGCTGCACGATTTTTAACCTAAATCGTCGGCTTAGATTGTTTTTTACAGATACAACTAATTAAGACTGAAACACTTTTGTAATGCTACGCTCAACTGAATCACGACTAGAACATGTCATTCAGCTTTATCACTGTGTTAGTTGTAGTTATAAAAAAAACTGTACACACTAACGACAAGCGGCTCGCGTCGCGAGAGCATCGAATCAACAATGCGGTAGTGTAAACAAACTATGTAATGCTATCGTTTTCTCTCCTGCTGTGTGTTGATAATTTGAATGTAGATTCAGCAATTTTTACTAGTTCTTCTAAGAAAAAAAGCATGCAAATTCATTTCAGCGGAGCAGATTTATATGAGTTCCAAATTTTTTGGCAACATTTCAGTGGACAATTTTCATAATGGCAGGTTTGTAGAGTTTTTTTTTACATTTGCATTTATTTTTATGAAGAATTTTATAAGTTTATGTTTTTCATCTAGGCGGAGAACCATCGATATACTCACAAAAGGATAAAGATCAAATTGTCAATTTTATGGAGTAAGCGATTACATCCAATGATAGCAAAAACTTAAAGACTTTACACAAGGTCAGTATAAACTCTAAATTTCACGAAAATGATCTCAATACATCAGGATTCATTGCTTAAGATGAGCCACATGTACTTAGGTAACAGAGCGTTTAGTTAGTTATGAGATGCTGATATTGCCGTTGTTTTGTTTTCTTCTAAATTAATTTTAGTCGCTGAAGGTAGCATTGAAAAAGGAAAGATCGAAAGTAGTGACAAAAATCCACAAGAACATATTCAAATTTATGCAAAAGAACGTTTTGAACAACAATATGGATCAAAATTCGATTGTTGAATCTACGAATATCCCAAATGACCTTAATCCATTGGATGAAAGTGATCGTGATTCTAGTGTCGTCGATTCAGTTTCAAATACGCATGGAATTGTTGATTTCGAGCCGCCTCGTCAACAATCAACAATTGGGAATATTCAAATAAAGGAATCCAACGACATAATATTCGGAAATAGAATAATTTACAATGGACCAGTGAACATTCATCGACATGTGCTCCAACATAATCCATCTGATTCACAAGCAACTGACGAAAATGTTGATCAAAGTGCCGAACATTTGAATCCCATTGATCGTCCTAGTGAAAATACTACAAACGACGTGGACAATGTGATGAACAAAATTTTTGCTGTTTCCCCAGTGTTGATCATAGTCATAACTGTGATCTATTGTGCAGCTCCGATTGCAAAACGAAGCGCTATTGTTATTATTTTCAAATGTTTCATCCTTATGCTTTTTCTGTTGATCATAGCTTATTCACTTTTATGGTCGGTGCTCGGTGAACATGTTAATGAAGTTAACGACTCGTTTATCTATACTGTGATAATATGTGCTGTTCTATACCTTGGGTTTGCTATAATGTATTTATTTTTAAGTGTCGTGTTTGACACATAAATCCAGTACAAACTTTGCGAATACCTTATGATCATTGAACCGATTATAGATCACAATTTGTGATTGAATCAACTGTGACATCACCAATGTGGACTCAGATTTAGGAATTTGGTCTTCAACCTAAAGGCAATTCACTCCAAAATAGACATTCACACTCCAAAAGAGACACACAAAAATTACATGGACAGCAAATCGACGTAAATTAAAAACAAAGAAAAAAAAATTGAATTCTCTTGTTTAATAACAAGTGTGTTTTCCATTGGTTCAAATATTTATAATTCGCTTATTCTACTCTGTTCTCTTATTTTCTTGCGATCGATTCGTTGGCGTTTATAAACAAGTCGAACAATTCATGTTAATCGCGTTGAATGCAGCACGGATGAATAAATAAACATTAGAGCATAAAAGCATCGAATCAGCGTATTTCACGAAAGAATGGAGAAAAAGAACTGAAAGCAAAATTTTATCATAATTTCACCGCAGTAACGGAATCGATCGAATCAGCAAGTACAGACGCAGCAACTGAAAGAACAACAAGAAAAAGAAAGAAAACACCTTTCAGTGTGCACTTTGAATTCAATCCAATCGGACATACAGTTGTCTAAAACAGCGGCAATCAAGACGATTTAATATGAGTAAAAAAGCCAAAAATTCTGCAATTAAAAAATACACCAATTCGCATGAAAATGAAAGTGACTCCAGCGATTCAGCTTTGGATGGAAATGAAACGTTCAAACCATTTCACCAAGAACGAATTGGTGACGTTCATATAAATCGATCAAGTGATACCGTCTTTGGGAATAAAGTGCGTGTTTTCAACAGACATCAACGTCCGCCTAATTCAGAAGGAGTTAATGGTGACAATCAAAAGACCGATGTTTTGCATCAATCCAGTGCACCAAATAGCACATTTTCGATTGTTGAACTGAACGATTTGTTCGCACGACCGCTTGTGCAAACGGTTTATATGATCGCAATCCTGGTCGTTTTGTGCCTTGTGAAGTATTTCCTTGCTTTATTCGACTCTTAGGCTCAGTACCGGCAACAGAACTCAACCGAACAGTATTTTTGAAAATAGCGAATAATTGAAAGCCAATAAAGTAAATCCAAGTCTTTGTTTTGCACCGAAAATGATTTGATTGTGATAATATTTAATTCAACGGTCAAGCTTAAAATATGAACTATAAAAAAAATCATTGTAGCAAATGTTAGACTATTGCATAGTGCGGTTATTCATAAAATTCATCAATTTAATCATATCCACCAGCTCTAAAATACTATTGACATTGACATTGAATTCATGTCGAGGCAATCTAAGAAACACGAGCAGTTACGTCACTTCAAAAGTATACACACACTCAAACATGTTCAAATAAATGAAACCAATCTATCGTTATGCTGAGTTATGTATTTGTGAGTCATTCGATATGATATTTGTGGCGATCACTTTTTGGCATTTGTAAACAAGTAACACAATCGAATACATCACGAATGTGTGGATAAACATTAGAATAAAGAAGAACAGTGAAGAACAGTGAAGACTTCGAGTGAATTGATTGAGTCAGCTTATCGCCTCAAAAAAAAAACAACGATAAGATCAAAATTAGAGCTCCAGTTCAGAAACGATACCGTTTGAGTCGAGTGCAAATAGTGAAATTGAAAGAGTAACAAAAACAAAATACAAAGCCAATAGGCATAAATAAAAACGGGCGATTGATAAATTAAAAGGCGACGTAGTGACAAAATAAAAATGAAATGAATTCAATAAAAAAGTTCTTCAATAAAGCGAATCGAAATTCAATTGTCCGGAGCTCGAATGTCACAGATGACAATAACTCGACGGATGTAAGTGATGATGAATCTAGTGTCGTAGATTCGGTTTCAGATGGGAATGAATTGGCTCCTTTTGATCCGCCTCATCAACAATCGAACATCGGGCACATTCAAATAAACGCATCGAATGACGTCACCATCGGCAATAGAATAATCTATCATGGGCCAGTTACCATCCATCAGCAGGTGCTCAATCAAAACCGGTCTGATCCACAAGTAAATGGTGGTAATGTTAATCGAAGTGCCGACGTTTTAAATCGACCCGGTGAGTTTATTGCATTTGTTAATGAAATTTTTATTTCGATTTATTCATTTATTTAAAATTGAGAATATCATACAAAAACCCATTTCAACTGAAAATTGCATTCCGTGTTGAGTGTCCATGAAAATAATTGATTTAAAACAAATTTTCAGTATTCACGGCCGAAGCGGCAGGTTCATTGCGGATTGTTGAACGAAGTGAATGGTTTGCACGGCCACCTGCACGAGAATTGGAGCCTTTGGAACAACCAGCGATTCGCGTAATTATTGCATATACCGCGGGCCAACACTCTACTATACACGTAAATACATTATTTTCATCTTTTAATGAAAAAACAAAATCACAAAAATGAGATTGAATTGGTTCAATCAATTGGATGATTTTATTACAAATACAACGGAAACTATTCAATTTAACTGCTTTTCCTTCCGACTTCCAGAGAGAGTGTGCTGAAATTGTTCGCAACTATCAAGCCGAGCACATTGAGCTAAAAGGCTGGGATGATATCGCCTATAATTTCTTAGTTGGTGGTGACGGTTCCGTTTATGTCGGCCGAGGATGGGACTACAAAGGCGCACACAGCCGGATTTACAATCGCAGAAGCATTTGTATTGCATTCATTGGGACATTCTCCACAAGTCCACCACCGGAACGTTCTTTGATTGCAGCTCAGCAATTGATTAAACGCGGCGTTGAACTGAAGAAAATCGCCGAAGACTATCGTTTGTACGGAGCTCGTCAGTTGATACAAACTGTTAGCCCCAGCAACATCGTCTACGAAATTATTAAAACTTGGGATCATTGGACCGAAGAAGTTATTCCACCGTGAATTCACTGCCAAAAATATCAAAGTCGTTCAAAAATGTAGTTAGTTCATAGCAAAAAATGTTCTTCACTAATCGAATTACCGTCACCAAATCACTCATCAACGATTTGTTTTTCACTATCAATAGGTATTAATTTTACTTGCCAAAAAAAACTAGGCTAGCCTTCTAAAACTTTGTTTCAACATCAATAAACTCGAATGAAATTTGTGTTCCACCAAACTATTCGGTATCAAAATACCTAAAAATAGAAATAAATAACAAATTTAAAGCAATAAAAATAGAAAATCGAACAACAATTCAGTCACAGATTTACTTTATTAGAACAAAAATGGTCTTTTTCTGCTGATTTTTCCGGGAAAAAAGCAGCGGTAGGTATATTATAATAATTATAATATAATTCAAATGCTCATTGTTATTGATCCCCAACTGCAATTATTTCTATCGTCGGTCCATCATTCGACGAACTCTAATTAACTCCAATAAAATCCACACAAACTCTTCTTTATTGCTTGCCAATTTATCTATTGACACGTAGGAAATGGATACGAGCCATTTCGGAAATAAAAGGCAATAAAAAGTAAGTGCTGCGGTTCCACTCTGTATAAATATTTGCTCAAAAAGGTGTTACTTGTAATTTTATGCGTTCCGTTGAACTGTGTGTATTGTTTTTTTTTTGCGAAGCATTCAGATGTCGTTTGGTTGGTTAAAGCAGTAATCGAGTGTACTAAAAGCAACATTGTCACCCGAAGAACTAACTCTTTTTAACGAAACACTTTAACAAAGCTCCAGCGATCCGAGTAGTTATTTCATATACCGCGGGGCCATATTCTAACATTCATGTAAATGCATTACTTTCATCTTTAAATCAGTAAAAGGAAAAAGCATAAATTTTAAATTGATTTGATTACTACTAGTTAAACAATTTCATAAAAATGCAAAGAAAATAACTAATTCGACTGTTTTTTCCCTTTGATTTTCAGAGAGAGTGTGTTGAAATGGTTCAAAACTATCAAGCCGATCACATCGAGCTGAAAAGTTGCAGAGATATTCGACAATTTCCTAATCGGCGGTAATAGTTCCATTTATGCTGGTCGAGGGTGGGACTACAATGGTGAACACAGCCGAATTTACGATCGAAGAAGCATTTGTATTACATTCATTGGGACATTCTCCACAAATCCACCTCCGGAACGTTGTTTGATTGCAGCTCAGCGATTGATCCAACGCGGCGTTTAACTGAAGAAAATCGCCGAAGACTATCGTTTGTACGGAGCTCGTCAGTTGGTGACGACCACGAGCCCCGGCAACATCGTCTCCGAAATTATTAAAACTTGGGATCATTGGACCGAAGAAGTTATTCCACCGTGAATTCACTGCCAAAAATACTGAAATCGTCCAAAAATGTTGTTAGTTCATTAGCAAAGAATCGAATTGCCCTCACCGTTTCACACTACCAAAATTCATTTAATATTCATTTTAACATGATCAATATTAGTTTCACGTGCCAAATAATTACACAATAACTAGGCTAACCTTCTAAAACTTTGTTTCAACATCAATAAACTCGAGTAAAATTTGTGTTTCACCAAATTATTCGGTATCAAAATACCTAAAAATAGAAAGAATTGACAAATTTAAAGCAATAAAAATAGAAAATCGAACAACAATTCAGTCACAGATTTACTTTATTAGAACAAAAATGGTCTTTTCCTGCTGATTTTTCTGGGAAAAAAAAAGCGTCGGTAGGAATATATCATTCAAATGCTCATTGTTATTCATCCCCAACTGCAATTACTTCTATCGTCGATCCATTATTCGACGAACTCTAATTAACTCCAATAAAATCCACACAAACTCTTCTTTATTGCTTGCCCAATTTATCTATTGACACGTAGGCAATCGATACGAAGCCATTTCGGGAATAAAAAGGCAATAAAAGTTATGTGCTTCGGTTCCACTCTGTATAAATATTTGCTCGAAAAGGTTTTACGTGTAATTTTATGCGTTCCGTTGAACTGTGTGTATTGTTTTCATTTGCGAAGAATTCACATGTCGTTTGGATGGTTAAAGCTGTAATCGAGTGCACTAAAAGCAACATTGTCACCCGAAGAACTAGCACTCCTTAAGGAAGCACTTGAACAAAGCTCAAGCTAAAAATATGGAAACAATCAGGAACAGTGAAAAGTTTTTGTCGGCATTGCTATTGTGTTCAATTTGAATGATGTAAGTGTGCGTGTGAACCCGTGTGCAAATAAAATGACTAACAGTCACTTAGTTGTATGTAACTGTATGTAGTGATACACAACTAAAACTGGCTTTGGTTGAAATCATGCGTTTTGTATGGAGACAATCACGTTTAGTTATTCTTTCAGTCATTCGACTAATTTGGGACATTTTGACTAAGAGTGATTTGTGATTAAAGTTAACTGCAGTTGCTTATTTTGTTCGAGACAATCACTTTTAGGCAGTCAAAATGTCCCAAAATAATCGACAAAAAATTTTCCACACGGGAATACTTGAAGAACAATATTGTACTGAATAAATAAAAGTAAGAGAAAGAAAGTCCAAACTCAGCTCATTTAACCCAAATGAAAGTGGTTTTGGATAGTAATGTTTAGTAACAACAATTTGGCTTTATTGATTTAAAAGGATGGTTATTTCCACAAAAGTGCCATATAAATTCCTAGCCTGTAAATCAGTGTGAATTGTGTAAGTTTGTATATTACTTGCCGGTGTCTATATGGTTTACAACGCCAATTTACGGGAAATAAAATTCATAGTCCCCGAGGGAGAAACTAACTTGCGAATGACTCTCAACAAACTGGTGTTGTTGTCGTCGTCGTCGTTGAAAATAAGTGTATAAAGGTCTTCACATGTCAACAACTCCATATATAGACAGTTTCTACAGTGCGCGCTGCATACACACGCTGACTCGACTTTGTACGTGTTTTTGATATTGTACGACAGAGACACATCGAAAGCAACCCTCACTGAATTTCAATCATAACTCTCAATGTTCAACAAAATGCACATAAATTTAGAGACCGTGAGCGAATAATAATAAAAAAAAATAGTGCATGTAAAAACGTCGAAACATGTGTAAATGCCATTCGCATTTAGTGATTTTATCAGCATTTTGAATGACGGTGCATGTGGAGTGTGTCTCTGTTTCTGTTTTTCCATGGAAAATTGCTTTCAAAGTGTTTATTAAAATGAAAACTTTAATCATTAAGCGTGAATTCCAGACGAATCGTTCCAAACAGACGATTGTTTACTGCTTTTGTGTTCGGTGCTAACAATTTTTTTTTTTTTTTTTCATATTTTTCCTTTCGTTCTCTCTGACGAATAGTAGAGAAAAAAACCAAGCGGAATGCATTGAAATTTTTCATGTTCAACCGCACACGTACTTCAATTGCTTCCGTTCAACATCAACCGTGAAAATAGAAAAAAACCCGAAGCCAATTTAAAAAAAAATTGAAATATTTTTTTCGAAAAGGAAAAATATATTGAAAATGGCAAAGCATTAATCAAACCAAGAGAGCGAGAAACTCAACGAACGAGTGAGCGAACCAGGAGAAAAAAAAATGCAAATTCCCATGTTCCAAAGGAATTCAGTGGTTTCAATTAATGGGAAAAAATATATAACCATTTTTTTATTCTCTCTCTCTCAACAACGGGAAGCATTGCAAAATCGACAAACGAAAGTGCATCGAAATGGAAATAAACAAAACCACACTCTCGGTTTACTATACGGCTCGGTTGTTTGGATTCGCTCCTTATTCCATTGCCATTGACAAGCAGAACAAATTGAATCACATTCAGGTGAAATACAGTCGGTTTTTGTCCATATATAGTGTAACACTGTTGATTGTGTTGGCGGCTCTAACGAACTTTGGATTGTATATCGATGCAACATCACCAATTCCGATACGGTGAGTGAGCGAAACGAGTGTCGAGAGTGAGTGAGTGAGTGAATGTGCATCAGGAAGCGCCCAGAGAGAGAGAGAGAGAGAGGGAGAGAGAGAGAGAGAGCGCACCGAGCGAGAGAAAAGTCAATATTGAGTGAATTTAATCGGTTTTCATTGATAATAACAAAATGAATTATAAATTGGATAAATATTTGTTTGCTTTATGAATAGATTGAAAACGGCGACAGCGAGAGTGGTGACGGGTTTTGATGTGAATATACTGGTTAGTTCGTGCCTCATTTCAATGTTTACCGGTGTATTTGGTTTACACAATACGCAACAAATGAATGTTAGCTTGAATAAGGTGATTTATTTATCTAGTTTTGTGTGCGGATTTTTATGCGAAATCGATTTTCTTCCCTCATCAGTAGACTATCGATGATAGTGATATTGGAAAATTTTCATTCCAAATGATTCAGAGTGAGAGAAAAAGTGTAATTACAATTTTTGCAGGCCGATGAAAAGCTCATGGGATTATGTGCAAGTATTTCGATGCACACAAATGGCGCTCGACGACTATTGACCACGTTCGTATCAATTGTGTACGTGTATATCTGTACGATGCTGGGTAAGCGTTTTTCTTTACTGTGTGTCTATCCTGAGGGGGCGCTCCTTGGATAAGAATAAAGAAAACGGAGAGCATTCTTCGCATCACCAAAAAGAAAAGCTTTGCACCCAAGGAATGCTCTCAATCAATTCATATTTAAGTATATAACAGAAGAAAAAAAAATCTCTATAAATCTCGTTGATCCCGTTAAGCCATTGATGTCTGGGGTTATTTGAGACTGGCAGCTATTGTATGGGCACGTGATGCTGGTATTTCATCTTATCACAAATTCCACAAGCAATTCCATCAAATTTGTCAAAAACTAGCATCTTTTTCACTCTTTTCTCTCTCTCTCTCTCTCTCTCTCTCCCTCTCTCTTTCTCTTTCTTTCTCTCTTTTTTCGTCATACACAGTTGCCATCGATCAAAATGTGATTTGTTTCGTGCCATTTTATATAATGTATATTTTCTTCTTAACAATTCACATCAAATTCGCTTATTCAACATATCGCATCGCTCTACGCTACCTAGCGCTGAACAATTGTTTACAAAATTCCAAGGCGTATCGTAAGTTTTGAAGAGAGTGTGAACGATATTCATTGTGCGCGCCGCACATTTTCAACGCATCATTTGATTTTTGATTAATTTTTTTTTTTCCTTTTTGGGTGGCATTTTTCTGGCATTTGGTATGCATTAAACGCATACACATACAACCAAAACAACTAGAACGCGCTTTATGGCGAAGCAATGAACCGGTAAATCGGCCATCCATCGGGCTTTATTTAAAGCGATATAAATTTGTGGCAAGTGTTAATCATGGTAAGGACGGTATATGAATAAATGCCACTTTTCACACAGTAAACAGGCGCACGAGGCGGAACCAGTTCAAAAACTTTGTATCCTTGAAACGGGATGAGGAAAAAAAAACCATTCATCTGTAACTGGGTGAAGCTCATGAGCTGCGTTTCGTCCGCAGTGTTTTTTTTTCTTCCACCACTCTTGAATGATTCACAAAACATCCACATAACTCAATGCGTAGAAAGATTTATGCCCGATGGGCTTTTATTTTTTTTTAAAAAGAACACTTTTTTTCACTCATTCTTCGTTCACTTTACAGCCAAACCAAATTACAATGCGTTCAATATACGTAGCGCAGATGATGTGATAAATATCTTTGCCGACGTTCATGAACTGCTTGGAAAAGCGATGGTTAATGTTTCATCGTAAGTAGAATCGATTTAGTTTTAGCCCATCGAAAATCCCACCACCACCACCACCACCATCAATATCATTCTATGCACATATCTTGACTGACTCTTCCCTTGTGTCAGTTATCACACACACACTAACATTCACATAAATTCATATCAAGCACAAAAAGATACATATATTCTAGAACGTCCCGCTCGCTATCGGTCACTTTTTTTCTCGGATTTTGAAAATGTCTCTAAATCAAATGATATTCTTCCCCATTTTCACAGTGAATTTGGCGTTACGATATTGGTGCTATTGATTTCATGCCTCCTGCATCTTGTAGTCACCGCTTACTTTTTCTTTCTCGAAGTGTTCGGCGATCGAAAGGTAAGAAGAACTAAAGGCTTTAGCTACTACCAGAGCAGCTTTCCATTTTATTTTTCACACGAGATTTTCAGCAGTTCAAAATTTAATTGATTCTGTTGGTGAAAGGTGCAAAATGCAATAAAACAAATGGTCTTGAGTCTGTGTGTGAAGCGAGCACAAAACGGGCGGTACGCTTATCATATCTTTGAAACAGTTGCGATGTTGCGGTATCAATGGGTTGTGTGTGTGTGTATGTGTATGTATTCGAACAAATGGTCGTGTCTGTCGACAACGATAAAACCGAATATTGAACAGAATGCTGGCTCGTATCTTTGACCAAACCGAGAGAAGAAAAAAAAATTCCCTCAGTTCAATATGAAAAATTGCTCTGAAAATCTGTGCACCACATTCACAATCCGATTCATATTGCAACCGCAAATTGTCCAAAGAAATCATATGTTCCGTTCCATTGTTCACATCCGATTCGAATCAAATGGCTGTGGCCATTGTTTGATTTTATGCAAGCCAATCTCTGGTGCCAGTTCTGATGTTCACTCTCTTTTTCTCTTTTCAAATTCTCTGTGTTTTTCATTTCATTCACTTTTTTTTTCATTCCATTTGAACGTTGCAAAAAGGATACATTTTATACAACGGTGCAGATTCTGTGGCTCATTTTCCATTCACTTCGTCTGCTGCTCATCATAGAACCCTGTCATCGTATTGGTGCAGAGGTAAAGGAACGAATACGGACACATACACAAAAATATCAAAACCTAATTTTAAAGCACTGAATGACGTTGGTGAATATTTTTAGGCTGGTAGAACGGTGGAAATTGTATGCGATTTACTCCGGAAAAAAGGCGAACATTATGCGGTATTTTGTCGACACTTTGTGATTTTTAAATCATGTTGATCAAACAGATTGATTTTTTTTTTCATTTTGTTCTCGGTCGGTTATTTTTGGTCGTTTCCGCTTGGAAAATGGCGTAGCTGAAAAATTTCTGGCAACAACTGATTGCCGACAATACGTTTTTTTCCGCGTGTGGGATATGTCGAATCGATCGGCCGCTTTTGACAACGGTATGAATATCTTTTGTTATTTTTCTTCCTCTTCCGCTCTCTTTCTCATTCTCTGCACTCACAAAATTTACATAAAAATAAACGGATGACGCTTTTCCCCAAAAACCGAACGAATAATGGGGTAAGCATTTTAAAGCTTGATTTTATGAAATTATATTATAGCTCGGTGGCGCAATTGCAACGTATTTGGTAATATTACTACAATTCAATAAGTCAGCTGAACAACAACAGCAACAGAACAACCGAACAACAACATCATAAATCATAGCACTGGAGAACCGTACTAATTCATTAACATTTTCAACAACAATCAGCAAATATGCAAATCAGTTTGCAATTTAACAAGGGATGAAACTGTCACTCGCTGTAGCATGTCACTCGCTGTAGCGGTTGGCATGAGAATGGCAGAATGCTGCTCCTTTTTTATAGTTATACTATGTAGAAAATTTATTTGCATTTAAGTTCTCTCTCTCTCTCTCTGTGTGCAAATCAGCACGATAATTGTATTTTTGAATAAAATTTTGAAGAAGAAAAAAACAACAACAAATTGAATCATTTCGGATTAACATTTCATTTTTCATGGGCTAGACGGCAATGTGTACAGTTATACAATGTTGTACATTTAAGCGAAAAAAAAACCATTACCACCTCCTGAAACAATGGAACCAGTTTGTCAAGATTCGGTACGACTGATAATAATGGATTCGATTTCGAAATGTCGTATTTTAACTGAAAATTTATTCACCGAAATTCCATTAAATTAGAGAGCGAACTATTGACCGAACGAGCTAGCGACCGAAGAGGCGATGGTGAAGGAGAGAGAGCGACCAACCGAGGAAGCGACAGCGAGAGAGCGAAGAGAGAAATGAGAAAGAGAAGGAGAGAGAGAGAGAGAGAGAGAGAGACGAGCGTTCCATTTTGAAGGAAAACAGAATCGGAGGTCCTACAGCGATGCCTAATCGAATTGATCGAAATAATTTGGATTTTGAATGGTTGCGAGCACACAACAACAATTAATGAAATGAAAGACAAATACACCGACGCACACAATACAAAAGCCGATTATTTAATCATGAGATTTGTGCGTAGCACGTTTTCCACTTGGTTTATGAATTGTTAGGCTGATTCCGGCGAATAAATGAGCCTACGGCATGTCCAAACACATTGATAGTCCCTCTATAGTCTCCATAAAAGTCACCTCATTTATTGTGGTTCACTTCAGTTCGGTTCATTCAGTCATTTATCGATTTCGGTGAACGAAACAGCAAAATGGAAATTAACGATACAACCATGGTACTCACTTGGTTTTATCAATTGTACGGTTTTGCACCTTATAAAATACGACGAAATAATATGAATCAAATCGTCGACTTCAAACTGAATCGCTTTCTCTGTGTCTACGCTCTAACGATAATAATCGCTTTCACTCTGGCATCCAATTATGCGCTGTTTTACGATTTTTACTCCGGACATGCTCTCAGGTATGTATCTTAAACATGAATCTTATTCAAATTATAACGAATCGGGGCACATTTCTTTGAACAACAGAATTTATATAACCTAGATTTGTCTATGTAAAAATACAAAGAGATTATTTTTCAAAGCCTCATATAAAAGCTGTCATTGAATTGAATCTGATGCATTTCAGGATGAAAAATCTTATGTCCAGCATAGTATTCTGGTTGGATGTAAACATCGTTAGTACATTGTGGTTGATAAGTGCGATGACAGCGATTATTTCAGTGAAAAATACACGCTGTGTCAATCAACTGTTGAATAAGGTATCGTTTTAAGTTGAAATTTTCAACGAAACTGGTTGAAGAAAAATCAATGTATGGAATGCATTCGAATTGTACGACGCACAATGTGCGTTCAATGTTGTCGAATCGAAACAAGTCAAACCGAATTGAATCAAATCGAATCCTATCCTGGGCTGGAATTCTAAGTCATTCCACCAAAATCATTCGGAATTATTTTTTTTCGTACATAAGACCATATTGGAGTGAAAGAGAGAGATTCCACTATTTTTCAGCGTTCCACCGGAATTATTTCTCACACATTCCACTCTTCCTTGAGTTATCGGAATAATTCCGGTGGAATGCTGAAAAATAGTGGAATCTCTCTCTTTCACTCCAATATGGCTTATGTACGAAAAAAAATAATTCCGAACGATTTTGGTGGAATGACTTAGAATTCCACCCCTGTTCGCATCTCCTTCTTTCAGATTGACGTCGATCTGAGTGTGTTTGGCCGCAAAGACATTCTGCATACGAAATTGGCACGGCGACGAATCTACGCTTTTGTTGGCATCGCTTTCATTCTGCTAATAACTATGCTGGGTAATCCAATTATTTAGATTTGCATAAGTATCCACGAGATTCTTGATTTTTAATAAAAAAAACTCTGTGTTTCGTATTTCAGTAATCGATTTTTACACCAGGTTTCTTATGGCCCAGAGACATAGAAAATTTCCCAACGCCCCAGGTGCAAATCAGTTCATTCTTCTTTCATATAATTCTTTTTGGACACTTTGCAATTACTTCACAAATGATTACTTTTGATTAAAATCATTTCCGTTTTATTTTTTGCAGAGCAAAATGCCGTAACCAATCTGTGCTATTTGATTCCGTTCTATTTATTGTATACCTCATTTGTGCCACTGCATGCAAAATGCGCGGTGACAATTTATCGAATTGGGCTACGATATCGGTCTTTGAATAATATCATTTCCGCCTATGCCGATGCAGGTGAATAGCTTGTGGATTTGTCATGTGATAATTCATAGTAGTCTTTGGCTTTTGTACACTCACACAGTTAACAGCTATGGCTACCTCCGATCCGATTACAAACAAGCTCAGGATGTTATTCATCGCTTTATTAAGATTTATGATTCGCTTGGGATGGTTCTGAAGTGCGTCAGTGAGTAAGTGGTAGATTTATGGGATTTTAAAGTATCTCTTGGATAGTAATTCATTTTGGACTTTTTTCAACCACATTTTATTGCGAAATAATTTTCCAATTTAATAATCAATCAATTCACCTTTTCTTCTCATTCTTATTTGGTGAAACAAGTGAATCTGGGATGATAATAATCATTTTGCTGATTTCCTCCCTATTTCACATGATTGTTTCAGTTTATGTGATCATCGATTTCTTTTACGGTAAAGTAAGTATATAAAGAATTTTTCTTCTAACTCCGCCCCACAATTCATTTCGATTGAGCTATATTTTCAATCCAATTCTCTTTTCCCTCAGGACACTCACTTCGTATTATTGCAATTCGCATGGATTTGCTTTCATTTCGCACGGATTGTATCTATCATTGAGCCGTGTCATACGATTTCAATGGAAGTAATTTTAGTGGGACTTAAAAAGTTGCATGTGGTTTTGACTTTACATAGAGATTTCTTTACTAATAATTCCAGACTCAAATGACCACTAAATCTGTCTGTAAATTGATGCAAACAAAACACAATTTATTTGTCGTAAGTAGGATTGGATTTGAATTGACGCAACACAACTTTGGGTTGGATAAATCAAGGATCCTTATCGCTATACACTTTTCGATTTGATTAAAGAACTCTTATTCAAAAGTCCCTTATAAACTATCGCATTCTAATCACTTCAAACTATTCCCATTTTAAACAGTTAAATCAATTTTGGAATAAGCTCAACTCAAATCAAATCAATTTCACGGCCTGTGGAATATGCCGGATCGATCGTCGAATGCTGACCTCGGTAAGATGAACTCAATTTAAATGATTCTTCGAGAAATTACGTTGCATATTGTTTTAGATTGGAGCTGTTATTACAACGTACGTGATGATCCTACTTCAATTCCATAAATATGGTGAACATAGGCATGCTGCGCACGGCTCACAATCATATTATCAACCATAATTTATCGACAGCTTTGGATACATAATTAATGAAGAAAAACTACTAACAAGTTTGATCAAATAAATTCAAATATTGTAATTAAAATGGTGTCTTAAGTAAAATGGAATGTCGAACAAAAAACACATATTTTTCTTTATCGGTAATTCCACACGATGCATAAATACATGTAGTGGTTCAAAAATCTTTGGAAAGCTCCAAATAACGAATACTATGGGAATATCACGCTCCTCAATCTTGTGAGGTGTTTGAGATATCTATATCAGATGAAAAAAACTCTAGACGAGGTTATAATGGAGTGACGCTCCTGTGCGTGGATTTACCACTTAAAAAGGAGGATATTATTTTGAGTGACGCTTTGACGCTGTATTACCTCTGGGTGCGAAGTTCAAAAGTGTTTTTCGCATTCACTATTGTGAAAATTTATTTGCAATAAGGAAAAATATCGCGTCATGACTTTTGAATTTTGTCTTCAAGTCAAGCTTTAAAGCGTTTTGCCGTCCAAAAGTCGTGACGCGATATTTTTCCTTATTGTAAATAAATTTTCACAATAGTGAATGCGAAAAACACTTTTGAACTTCGTACCCAGAGATAATACAGCGTCAAAGCGTCACTCAAAATGATATCAGTCATTTTGAGTGGTAAATCCACGCACAGGAGCGTCACTCCATTTTAACCTCGTCCAGAGGTTTTTCATCTGATATCACTAATTTTGTAAGGCAATTATTCTCGGGAAAAATACACTTTTGCCAGAAGTATGTCTATTTTGGGGTCTTATCATTGGGAAATTGTAATTTTTCGGGTAAAACATTTGCATCCACATTTCACAAGTTTTGTAAATGGCAAATTTCCACTTTCATTAAAAAAAGTCCCATTTTCCCCTTATTGGACATTGTAAAATGTGATTAAATTTCAAAATATCCATTAAAAGAGTTTCGAAGTAATTTCAGACCCATTACTTCATTGAAACATATTAATTTCCAACCACCAAAGCTCTGGAAAGTGCATTTTTTATGTATCCCCCCAAACAAAAGTTCAATTTCATAAATTCAGATGCCAAAATGCCGATTTATGACCAAAATGACAACGAAATGGATATTCAACGGTTCGTGGACTCCCAATATTTTCACGAAAAAAAAAATTACATTGGTAATCCCGAACTTTTCCGTACCGTTGGCCTGCATTGTCCGTAGGTACTTTTGGTTATTTTTTGTGAATTTCCTTGAAATAAAGACAGTGAAAATATAATAAAGAAAATAAATTGAAAAATCGGTCACTTTAACTAAAACTTCGACAAATTTGTATGAGAGGTAGCCGTAAACCGATTCTTATTGGCTTTAAACTTTCTGAGGTTTCATTTTTTGGAGAAAAAATAAGACTCTGAAAGTTTCATGTTGATCGCATTTGCAGAAGTTTGGTTTTTGGCCCTCAATTTTTTCCAAGAAAATGTCGACAAAAATTGAGGACA